CCCCTGCATGGGCAGGGACACCTCCCACCAGCCCAGGCTGCTCCAAGCCCCATCCAACCTGCCCTTCAACACTGCCAGGGATGGGGCAGCCACAGCTTCCCTGGGCAACCTGGGCCAGGCTCTCACCACCCTCACACCAAAGAATTCCCTCCTCATGTCTCACCTCAATCTCCCTCTCCCACTTTTCATCCATCCCCCTCATCCCATCCCTCCCTGCCCTTGTCCCAAGCCCCTCCCCAGTACTTGTGGATGAGCTGACATTCCAAGGGAAATCTGTCAGCCTTTTCTGCAAGAGATCTTTTGCCATGTCACCATGACAGCGCTGAAGGTGTGACTTGCCTTAGATTCTCTTGGTCCTGCTTTGGCAGAGGGGTTGGACTATGATCTCCAGAGGTCCCTTCCAACCCCCCACCATTCTGTGATTCTGTGAATGATGGCTCAAAAGCTGATTAAATTTAAGAAGGGTCCAGCTGAAAACATCCCCTGTGTCTATAAGGTGGTGTGGAAAAGGTTGTCAGCGTGCAAACAGGTTAGAGAGCTTTGGGCCTTCCAGCAGTAGGAAATAACAGATAAGGTTGACATCTTGGTTAAGACAGATCTGCAAATGCTGAAACTTCTGCCATCTGCTTTTGTAGTTACCCTTTTGGGGCTGAGAAACTTGCTGAAACTTTCCCAGTTATTGGGCAGGGCAAGAAGAGTCATGGTGTTCTTGGTCCTTCTTCCTTCCAGGAGAAGCTGCTTTGCTTGTGGTGTTGGAATGAAGAGCTCAGGGAAGAGAGGAAAAGTTGGGTTTTCCCCTTGGCAGGTTGGGTTGGGATCAAGGTGATGCTCCCAGCTAGTTCATTGTTGAGCAGTCAGCTGCCAAAGCTTGTTAATTAACTCTTAAGCATCATGGTAAATAGCTGGGACCAGGATCCACAGCAGGTTCTCCAGCAGGAAGGTGGTCATAAGTATCTTTGATTCCTGGTGATGAGAGAGGCACATACCTGCCACTGCTTCTGGACTCTTAAGGGAAATACTGACATGGAAAGAAAACCACACTCAGTTTCCTGCATCTTATATTCAGGGTGTTTATAGCTCATTGCCTCTGCAGTGTGTGTTGAGAGGAGGCTCTGGTGGGTTGCAGACCCTCGGAAGACAAGGCCAAGGCAGCAGCTTGCTCCAAACAGGTTTGCTCTGTCAAGGTCCTTGCAGAATTTTGGGTGCTGTGATTATTTGGCTTCCAAACAATTCTGTGCTCCCCTCCAGAGGTGGCTGGTGTGTCTGTTTGGCCACTGGGAGCTGTTGGTAGGGACATCTGAGGCAGCAGGTCTGCTTGTGGGGTTAGTGTTACCCTCACCCTGTGTCGCCAGCTCTGTCCCTTTGCAGCACCAGAGATCAACCCTTAGGTTTCTTGTTCCTGCTTGATGTTCACACTTTCTCTTTGTCTTTTCTTTTTCATGTTTTCTCGGCTGGATTGCAATAGAGAAGAAGAAAATGAGGTGAGTAAAACTGATTCTTCCTTGATGTGGCTCCTGGGACATGTGTTAGCCCAACCTTGTTAGTGTGACCTGTAGATTTCTGGAGCCAAGAGAGAATGAAAGTCCAGATAAAGCAAACTGATGTTATCCTGGAGTTAAATCCAGGAAAGAAGGAAACCACCTTCAACACCTCTTCTGCCATCCCCACCCAGGGATGTGGTAGCAGAGATTGATGGTGGCCTCCAGGTGTTGGTGTGGGTAGATAGAACTGTAGAATCCCAGACAGGTTTGGGTTGGAAGGGGCTGTAAAGACCATCCAGTCCCAACCCCTGCATGGGCAGGGACACCTCCCAGCAGCCCAGGCTGCTCCAAGCCCCATCCAACCTGCCCTTCAACACTGCCAGGGATGGGGCAGCCACAGCTTCCCTGGGCAACCTGGGCCAGGCTCTCACCACCCTCACACCAAAGAATTCCCTCCTCATGTCTCACCTCAATCTCCCTCTCCCACTTTTCATCCATCCCCCTCATCCCATCCCTCCCTGCCCTTGTCCCAAGCCCCTCCCCAGCTTTCCTGGAGCCCCTTCAGGCACTGGAAGCTGCTCTAAGGTCTCCCTGGAGCCTTCTCTTCTCCAGGCTGAACCCCCCAACTCTCCCAGCCTGTCCCAGAGCTGCTCCAGCCCTGGGCCCATCCCTGGTCCCTCCCATGCAGAAGGGCTGTGACACAAATGAGCACCCAGAGCTGCTCCAGGCCCTGATCCTTCTGGCCAGGTGTCCATGCCCAGCTCGACGTGGGGTGACTGGAGCTGCCTGACCTTGTCACCCCCCAGCCCAGCAGAGCAGCCCACCTGCCTCCACCTCCCCCTCAGCCTCCAAATCCCAAAGCCTGCAGCTTGGAGCACCTTCCTATCATTAGTCCAGGCTGTGGGGCAGGATCACCAAGCTGTGGGGCAGGATCACCAGGCTGTGGGGCAGGATCACCAAGCTGTGGGGCAGGATCACCAGGCTGTGGGGCAGGATCACCAAGCTGTGGGGCAGGATCACCAGGCTGTGGGGCAGGATCACCAAGCTGTGGGGCAGGATCACCAGGCTGTGGGGCAGGATCACCAGGCTGTGGGGTATGGCCACCAGGCTTTGCTTCTACTCTGCAGCCACAGGGAACAGGATGGGGGGTCCCATGGACCCTCTCAAGCCTTGTGCCTCCTCCTCCCTCCATGCCTGCTTCTCCTCTCTCCTCCCCAACTTCTCCCTGGTGCTGAGCCCTGTCTGCCCTGTCCCCTGCCCTGTCCCCATGGAGCTCCCTGGGACCAGCTGGGTGGACCCTGGTGTGGTTGCTCCTCAGGCTGTGGGTTGGATGATGCCCCATTTCAACACCCAGTGTGTCCCAGCTGCTCAGCCCCACCGAGGGTGCTGCAATCCCCATTGCTCCATCCTTCCTCCATTCCTCTCATACCCTTCATCAGCAGAGCCATCCTGGTGTCACCCTTCCTGCCCAGCCCTCCCGGGATGGTGACACTGCTCTTGTTCCCCAACATCTTGCAGGGGTGAAACCTCCAGCACCCTGGGCTCCAGGGGATCCACCTCTGGTTTCCTCAGATGAAGCTGGGTGGGTTTTCCCTTCCCTGCTCTCTTCTGCAGCACCAAGCTTGGGACAGGGACAGCCCCTGGAGACACCCCCCAGCCCTGCAGACCTGTCTGGCTCCAGGCTGTTCCTCTGCAGGACCATCTCCAGGGCTCAGCACCTCCTGGCTGTGACCCAGCTCCTCTGGCTTTAGGGACCCAGGGAGCCCCGGGTCTGGGTTTCCAGCCCACAGATCCAGCCTGGGTGTCTGGAGGAGCCTCAGGGGGAGGCTCATCTGGCCAGAGGCAGCTGTTGTGGTTGGGATGTGATGTAAGAAGGACTTGGAGATGGTCCAGAGGAGCCATGGAGATGATCCCAGGGCTGGGGCAGCTCTGGGACAGGCTGGGAGAGTTGGGGGGTTCAGCCTGGAGAAGAGAAGGCTCCAGGGAGACCTTAGAGCAGCTTCCAGTGCCTGAAGGGGCTCCAGGAAAGCTGGGGAGGGGCTTGGGACAAGGGCAGGGAGGGATGGGATGAGGGGGATGGATGAAAACTGGGAGAGGGAGATTGAGGTGAGACATGAGGAGGGAATTCTTTGGTGTGAGGGTGGTGAGAGCCTGGCCCAGGTTGCCCAGGGAAGCTGTGGCTGCCCCATCCCTGGCAGTGTTGAAGGGCAGGTTGGATGGGGCTTGGAGCAGCCTGGGCTGGTGGGAGGTGTTCCTGCCCATGCAGGGGGTGGATCTAGATGGTCTTTAAGGTCCCTCCAACCCAAACCATCCCATGATTCTATGAAGAACAGGGCAGAGAAGCTCCACCATGGGCTGACACCACTGACCACCCTCCCACCCAGGGCCCAGCTCCATCCTGACACCAGCAGGTGATGGCTTGAGATCAGCAAACACCACCAGTTCAGACCTTGTTCCCTGTGCCCCAGCTGTGTCCCTCCCCACGTGCTGACACATCCAGGAATCCAGGACCAAGGTTGCAACACCCTTGAAAGCAATCACAGCTTCCTCTGGTTATTGCAGGTGCCACCAGCCCTGGGGACATGGGGCAGCACCAGGAATGGGGACACGACTGCCCTGTGCCCGTGGCACCAGGATGTCCCCAGATCCCTCTGCCCCAGGGGTGTCCCTGCAGCTGGGGCTGCATGAGCCCCAGTTCCCTGCCAGGGACACAGGGACAGGAGTGAATCCTGCTGAGGGTTGCACCTCCAACCTACCCCAAACCCCTCCATCCACCACCCAACCTGAGCCCCCAGCATTGCCATGGCCAAGAATGATCCCCTTCATCCTCCAGGGACCTCCAACCCTGACCCACCTGGTGCTGGAACCCCCTTAATCTTTCAGGGACCTCCAACCCTGACCCACCTGGTGCTGGAACCCCCTTCATCCTCCAGGGACCTCCAACCCTGACCCACCTGGTGCTGGAACCCCCTTCATCCTCCAGGGACCTCCAACCCTGACCCACCTGGTGCTGGAAACCCCTTCATCCTCCAGGGACCTCCAACCCTGACCCACCTGGAGGTGGAACCCCCTGCATCCTCCAGGGACCACCAACCCTGACCCACCTGGTGCTAGAACCCCCTTCCCTGGCCACATCCACCTCTTCACCACCAGACCAGCTGCACCTTCAGGTGGGACCACAACCTTCTCCATGCCCCCAGGGCTCAACCACCATCCCTACCAGAGCAGGAGAGGGACCCTGTGTGTGTTCACAGGACCACACGAGTGTGTCCTCCAAGCCCCAACCCACCTCCCCAGCAGAACCAGACCCCAAACCCACACTCACTTCATGTTCTCCACGGAGCGTCCCCGAAGAGCTGCCAGGGGGGACAGGAGGGTGGCAGCAGCCACCAGCCACAGGTTGAAGAAAGCCACCTTGCAGAAGTAGTGGAAGGTGCCATCGTGCCTGTAGAGCAGCAGGGCTGCCCCGGGGAGGAAGAGGAAGAGGAGGAGGAGCAGCAGGAGCAGCTCCATGGGGGGAGGATGCTGAGGAGCCGGAGTGGAGCAGGGGGTGGTGAGAAGTGAGGCTGGTGGAGCAGGTGGAGCAGCAGAGCAGGACGTGGGTGGCTGGGGCTGGTCCAGGGGAAGGTGCCCAGGGTGTCTCACCCTGCACGGGAGAGGCTGGAGGATTTGGGGGCTCAGGAGGGGTGAGGGGCACCCTGAGATAAGGAGGGGGAGTCCTGAGGGGTTAACCCTGGGGAGTCTGGGGCACAGAGTTGTAGTGTCACAGGTTTGGGTTGGTGGGACCTTCAAGGTCATTCAAGCCTGACCCCCCTGCATGGGCAGGGACACCTCCCACCAGCCCAGGCTGCTCCAAGCCCCATCCAACCTGCCCTTCAACACCCCCAGGGATG